TAACAGGTGTGTTTTCTAAACTCGTCTAATTCAGAGTGTTCAGTGGATATTTATCCGCAATGAATTGTATTTTCGCTTTCTACAACTTGTCGACTTTGCTTAAGTATTTAAATTGCTTTATTGTCGTTATCATCAGGACTTTTTTTACGCCAGAGAAAAAATTAATGAATGAACAGCGCTTGATTCAAAATGAAAACGTTAAAGACTTTTGTGGTTTGCAGTCACCCTCAGATTGATGAACTAGTTTCGTATATTTTTTTTGAAACTTTGATGATTTTAATTACCCATGCTAATAGCAACATTCAGTGTTCTGGTACCTATTATTTGATTATTTAATAAATTGCCAAAGATAAAATTAATTCTGTTAAACTTCTATAAATTATGAGAAGTTAAAAATCTTTTTCTCTAGTAAAATAAATAAAAGGATTATTCTAGACCAAATCTGAATTAAATAAGCGTATGAATTTAGAAGTTAACACGCCTGAATATATATCATGCTGTATAATTAATTGGTGTAGTGTTATGCACGTTCAGTGGCTTGCCAGTGGTTCAATTCACAAACCAAACTTATCCATTCAGTTTCCCTCAAGTACTGGTAGGTAATACTTAAAATAAAATGCTCGCTAAGTTACTATTTTTTCGTTTTTTTTACAAGCATTTGGATTATTAATTTATTGGTTTTTATATTCTTTTGCTATTTTTATCAAAAAGTATTATTTTATCATGAACCTGTATGGGATCTAATTAGTAGGAACAGCTTCTAGTATGTTTAGTTCTTTCGGTACAGCCAGCTTTTATTGGTGATGCTCTATGAAAGAAAATTATAATACTCAAACAAATATTATAATGAAACATGTTCTTATCTTGAATAAGTACATTATAACAGTGGTTCCCTAAACTCTAAGCTGTGAGAAAAATTCTAGTGGTTAGCGAAAGACATTGAAGTGCTGTTTTATTACTAAATATTCTTTCTGTATTATTGTATCTATGTACATATTTAATTTATAATTGTTAATTAATTACTAATACATAATAGCTCTATGTATGATTTACTGTTATATTATTATTACATCGTTTTCTTTTGGGAATCTCTCTCCCGCTTTTTATACAGGGGGTGGGATGGCAGAAACTTAAGCATGTAGAACATAGGAAGTCGCCAGGGATAAATAGAAGGGCTAGGTCATTCCTTTGTTCGACTCCTCGCCGACGCGAGTCTCATAGAGGGGGGAACCGGAATAATCTGACTATTCTGTGGCACCTGCTCTGATTCGCGCCTTTAAACTGTAGTTTCATTCAGTTGCGAGATTTTCTGCGAGATCGCATATCCCAAATTAATTTTATCATACAATTTGTTTCTAATAATGCAATATTAAAATAATTTGTGTATATATAGTTTTAGTCAGTTTTCTTTTAAATTCTATATTTAAAGTATCCTTTATGTAATATGCTTCTTGGCTGTAGCACGTGCCGTAACACTTATAAAAATCGAAAGGAAGAGATATTGTATTTCATGCTTCCCCAAGGACAATTTGCTTTTGACGAAAGAATGGATCTAAATGTCGAAGACAGGATTCTATTAATGTGAAAAAAGCAAGATTGAGCGACATTTTCTGTGCAGTGATTATGAAGATGACTGAGAATCGCTTGCTTGGATTGCCGCAAAGAAACTGTTGAAATGCAATGCTGTGCCGAAAGTAAATTTATCGTGTGCAGTAAACAAAATAACACCAAGAATCGGACATTTGAAAAAACTAATGCAGAGGCTTTTGAAGAGTACATAATTAACCCAAAGAAATTTATTTTGAGGCCGAGAACGAAATTGAAGCTGACAATAAAAACAAAGGTAAGGATTTTGAAATAAAACTCCACAAGACAAGCCCTATGTGACAATATCCCTGAGTGCCCTAAGTGTAAAGATAACAAGAATGTATTGATAATTGAAGAACAAAATAATATCCTTAGAAAATTGTAATAAAATGTGACAATAGAGAAAAGAAAGATTTTAGAATGTTTGCTCAGCGACAAAGAAGGTGGAGACATAGAAAGAAATTTTATCGAAATCAGAATTAAATCCCAAACAGCGAAATTTAGGAAAAACAGAAAGATGGAGAATTTGAAAACGTCTAAAGCATATTTTTACAGACGCAGATTAACGCATTCTAGAGAAGGAAAAAATCCGGTGGACTAGTGAAGATATTTCACGTTGCATTGTCAAAGAGCTCTGTCATCAAAAAGCTACGATTTTTGGAAAGAAAAATGGGAATTCCTTTACCTAGCACTAGCACATTAAAGAGATGGTGCACTAAATTTTCATGTAGGTCCGGAATCAGAGTCGAGTGATGTTCTTGTGTAATGAAGGAAAGATGCCAATATTTGAATTCTTAGAAAAAATATGCGTTCTCAGTTTCGACGAAATGCCATAGATTCTAAACTCTGCTATGACTCTAAACTGGACCAAAATCGGTCCTTTTCAAAAAGTGCAGTTTGTTTTAATCAGAGTCTCATTCGCAGTGGAACAACAATATTTTTATTTTAACACTCAATGAAGAAAGAATTCTTTTTTATCTAAGACATTCAATCATCTAGAGTAGAAGTGAAAGCAATAGTGTCTGATTAGGAGGATCTACTACTTTGTGGAAGAGTTACAGATTTCGATTAATAGTTTCATTTCCAAATCAGTATCCAAAACGAAAAAAATGGGTTTTGCAATTTAGCGCACTGCCTGAAATTACTGAGTGTTGGTGTATTTAATTATGGCAAAGCACACTAGGGCTATCTGCCTAAGGGAGGGATGCCTTCGTGGAGGACTTTCTAAGGGAAAACTGGCTCGTATACACGTTACACACATGGGGAAAACCACGAAAACGCCCATGCAGCCAGCCCGTTCGCGGGATTCGAACCTCGGACCGAACTACCAGTGTTCAGCGACTTTACCGCTCGGCCTCTGGTGGGCTCAAATTACTGAGAAACCACTTTTAGATAAAGGATTTGTTTTAGATATGGAACTGTTTTAAATGTTGATATTTTAAAGAGAATTAAACTGTCACAAACTAAAACCAAATTATTAAATGGTCAAGGGAACGAGAGACAAAAGTGTATGTATAATATGTTTGATTTGAAATATTTAGATTGCATTTGAAGTTATAGCGTAAAGCATATTTCAAATGAGAAAATTCTGTAAGTTATTGTTACAGTATTTTTATTGTATCCTCTGTTATTATTGATTCGATTTGTGAGCTTAGCATTCTATATAAAATATATATAAAGTAAATTAAGTAATTGGCATAAGCAGACCTGCCTTTAACCCCACTTTTGAAATTAAATAATTATTTTAGGTACTGTGAAAAAGTTTTGTCTAAATTAGATAACATCTTACATGATTTATTTAATGAAATATTGATGTAAGCCTAAGTTACAAAATTATAAAAAAAAATATATGTTATTATATGAATCGGAGAAAAATATGCAAACTTAATTTAGCAGAAACTAAACTTAGATTAAAAAAACAATTAGATTAGCAGAAATTTTGCCATATATTCCGTTAAAACTGGCCAATTAGTTATTTTTGATTATTTAATAGCTGTTTTATAGTTATCTTAGCAGTAGTCAGTTCTCTTAGTTAACATGCAGATAAAGAAATGATTAGAACAAACAGGCATTTAAAGAAAAAAAAAATCCCTGCAAATAAAAAAAGGAACTTTGCTAAGAGTAGCGCATTTTATCTATTATTTTAAAATTGAGTAAGTACTATTAAATTTTGTAATGTTCAGTGTAAAAGCATACTGCCGTAATTGTCTCTTCCAATTATAGCTCCTTTCACACACAGCTCATTTTAAACGCTGATTCTTCAAATTTAAAACGCTAATTTCTATGTTGTCAATTGCATCTCCGCGCTCAGTGCGATCATTGCTACGTCATCACTCCTCACTGCCTGTTTCATAAGGAAACGCTCTATGAGCTAGCCCTTCTCTTTAGTCCTGGGAAGTCGCAGCGAGATACATATGGATCACGAGACTTAAAATATTCGGAAAACACTAAATGCGTAATAGGAAAATAATCAATGAAAACGTAAAGGAAAAGGCTTTGCAGTAATTGAAACTGGGCGACTCTGAATATAATGCGTTTAGCTATGACTTTCGTAAATGAGGAGCTCACATTGTCGAGATGCCGTTTTACACCGTAAAAAATCAACCGACAGCCGACTTTGGAATCAGCTTTCCTGCAGTGACTGTGTATTGACCCGAAAGCTTTCTTTTAGTCAGCTGTAATCTATACAGTATTTATGCGTTATAAGATTTCTGTGATTGTAGATTTTGATCCATTGTAGACATTACCTTTCACGATGTAGTCTCGGTAATATATTTCGCCAGACATAAATCCAATTATGTAATATCCGTAACATGCTTAAAGTGACAACGTTTTATTTACCAAACAACTTTTTATTTCAATAAGCAGTACTTCAGTAGATGAAAAAAAAAAAAAAAAACTGCTGCTGTATTTCTGTGTATAGAAAGAAGTGATGACCAGCGTTGTTACCGTTAGACATAGTAGTTGTATTATTTGAATGTTAATTTACTTGCAGATAATCCAGTTGATGACAATCAATTCCGCAATTATAAGTATTCTTATTGACATTAGTATTAATTAGTCTTATTGACTTTTTTCATAAACTTTAGAAATCATACCTTTGAATTTTAATCGTTAATTTTAGATTAGATGGTATTTTAAAACTATTTGACTTCGATTTTTAAATGTATTTAAAGTTTTCCGAATTTATCAATTTAAGATCCTAATACATTGTCTAGAATTGTTGTCGTAATTTTGTAAAATTAATGTCATATGTCAATTGATTTTAATACGTACTCTGGGATCTGTTGTAAAATCTAGATGAAATCGTATATTCATTAAAACTGTATATATATGTGTGTGTGTGTGTGTCTGTGTGTTGTATTGTATGTAAAATAATACTTAAATATCACGAATTTAATTTTCTCTTTCAGAATGGAACAAGCTTTATCATTTATGATGAAATACGTTTCTCAAAGGAGTTGTTGCCCATGTATTTCAAGCATAATAATATGGCAAGCTTTGTTCGTCAGCTTAATATGTGTAAGTACAGTTCTCTTTGACTGTATTAAAATTTTTGGACCTTTAATGAAGTTTATGCCCTTGCATTTAGGCTCTCATCAAGACATAGTTATATTAATAAAACGTTTATATCTCATAGCATAGGAAATTAACAAGTTCTAAATGCGAGCAGCTAAGTAAAATCGTCGATATAAAAAAAAATGAAATTTTAAATTAGTTTTTGTTTTTCAGGGTATCGTTATGGTACAACGATTTCCCCATCATCGAAAGTTTAGTTGGAAAAAAAGTGAAGAGTCATAAATTATCCCCACAGTATGTTTCAATAAATGGGGCTGGAATTCACAATAGATAAAAAATTGGCGATTCTAGTGACGCTTATCAGCTGGTTATCTCCGTAAAAGTGTCCTATACCTGAGCTAATTATTTGAAAATTTTCGACAAAGAATACATCCGTATAATAAACGAGGCAGTGTACCAGATATTTTTGCTAAATGCGTATAATTTAGTAATTCGGTATTAGAGAAACCGAATTTCCTTTCGTCATATTTCTTGCAAATAAAGGATACAAAAATACATTCCACAAAATTAAAAACCACGAAATAGTACATAATTTATATTTCTCGTTAATTCCCTTCAAAACAGTGCTGTTAAAGTTACTTTCTTGTCTGCAGAAACAATCCATTCAATTCGAACGCAAACAACTGTTCATCAATTATTAAATTTTAAATAAATATTTAAAATTTTTAAATTGATTAGATTTTCAAAAACCCTGGTACATGAAGGCTATCTGCGTAAACTCCATTTCCAGTTTTGTATGAGAGCCACAAGGATAAAAAGTCTGAGGGTTTTTTGGGGGGAATAAAAAACTGTCAACACTTTTATTGGGACAGATTTTTCAATATCTGCTTTTTTTAAAGGCCGAACAGTCACAAATGTATTGTTTCCCTTCAATCTGAGATGGCAATCCTGGTACTGATTTCCATTTCAGAAATAATTTTAATACCATGAAATTGCCATTTTTGATCAGTTTCATTTTAAATTAAGATAATAATTATTTAATTCATATATATAATTGAGCCTTAAAACAAAATAATGATTTAGATGCTGTTATTACCTTATTTTAGCATATTTTCAATGTTATGAACAAATTTATATTATATCTCTACATATAATAAAATAAAGAGTTTGTCTGTATGTGTGTGTCTTTCGTTCGCGCTGCGTGTAAGCTAATAGACCCACGGCTACGAAATTTGGTACATAGGTGCATCTAGACAAGAGCAGTGCACCTCGAAGCGATTTTTTCGAAATTCGAATAAGAATTTTTTTTATTTTATGTTTTGTGACGAAATCGCGTCATTTTGAGGTATAATGGGCTATAGGAAAGCGAGATTTTACTCTACGCACTCCATTTTTACATCGTCATGAAGCGTAGGCACTTAGCTATTTTACGAACTTAAAATAAATTTCGTGTTTCAATAAATCGATTAAATACGAATTTATTTAACAAAGTGAGCTTAACACGTTTTTCAACGGATTTTTCTAAAAAAGTTTATTTTTAAAAATGTACAGTTTATTTTTCTTTGATTTTTTGGACACGTTAAACTTTCATCCTTGCGACTGCTTTTACAAAAAGAATTTTGGAAAAATTATAATATTTTGTATTTTAAAAATTTTTAAATGAAGCTTCCGAAGTACACTTCTCACATCTCACATCTTTAAAAATGTGATTTTGGCAAACAATTTTCCTTCTTATTGTTGTTGATAGATTTTTGATGAAATCGCATCATTTTGAATAGTTTCATTCTTTTAGAAATATGGGTTTGGCAACAATTTTTCATGGTATTTCTTATGTCACTGTTTTAAGAGATTAGCATATTTCATGTCATTTTTTATATATAATATATTTTTATTGATGTTTTTATAAAGTGTTCTGCAGAGTAAAATTGTGCGCGGACATTTTTTGTTTTTTGAGTTTCTTTCATGTTATTTTTTGCTTATTTCACTGTTTGTAAGATACTGAAAAGTTTTGCATGATTTTTTTTCTTCAAGTTGGTTAATTTTTTATTAGGACAATTAATATTTGTATTAAAGCATATAGCTTATTTTATTCTAATATTTGGTGCTACTTTGGTAGACGGTTACACGGATTTTGGCGATTTTTCTTTTGGCGAGTAATACGACTTATGGTAAACCCATAGCTGAATAAGTTATTTATGGAAACTGATACTTTGTTGTCATTTTATTTTAAAAATAATGCGTTTTATTATGCATAAATTCCGTGTTTTAAATATTATTTATTGCTTCTAAATATTAAAAATCAATTTAATTATGCATTTTTATTTGAAATAAAAATTTTGTTGTTTATATATTTTATATAATTTTATGTTGTGGATGATGTAATCAATGACGTCACTTTACTTTAAAGTAATTGGTTTTATAATATCTATAAATTTAATATAATGTTTTAAACATTATTTATGGCTGTTAAATATTAATTTTGATAAATATTTTAATGTAAAATAATTTTAATTTAATTTTGCATTTGTTTTAAAATGATTTTATTATGAATGATTATTTAAATAATTTTAATTCTATGCCTGATGTAATCAGCTCCCTGATTGGTTACTGAATATTTGTGCATTACCGCGCCATTTTAAAATTTTATTATTCACATCTTTGAATTCCTCAGATTTCAAATGGAATGGATATGTCCGTTTCGAAGATTAATGTTGTTATTGGTAATTACCAAGCATTATTGGTATCAGAATAAAAAAATTGCTCTTTGAGACCTTATTTTTTCCAACCTGGCTTTCCTAATCAAAGATTTATTCATAAATTGTTAATAGCGTCAGAGGAAATTTATTTTAAATTTTTGGAGAAAACCTCGCTAATTGCTTCTTCAATGAAGTGCGAGAGATGTGAATCACAGATGAAGATCGTTAGAAGACCTTTTTTTTTTCGGGGGGGGGGGGGTACTTATCAATATACGAGGTAAAATACTTTAAAAAATGTAAGTACATATTTTCTTTTACTTTAATTGTATACTTCACTTTATTAAAAATTAATACATTTTTCAAAATTTCTGAGATATTTATTGCCACATATGTTGTAATGTTAATAATTAATCCTATAAACTTATTTAAAGTATTTAAATATTTCTTCTTTTAAAACGTGGTAACATATGTTGTAATGTTAAAATAATTAAATCCTATAAAACTTATTTTAAAGTATTTAAGTAATATTTTAATTCTTTTAAACGCTGGTATGATTTTTTTTCGATATTCAATTTAATAATATTTTAATCAATTAAATGTCGGCGCAAGTTTTTATGGCGGTGTTTTTATTCAATTATATGAAAGTAATAATTTAACCTTACTTTAGCATTTTATACTCTTAGTAAATGCAGTTATTTACATTTGCCAGCCATCTTAAAAAACGTTTTCAACAAAAAATTAATCCATTATTTTTAACGATATTTATTTTTTTAAAGTTTCTAATACTATATGCGTAACATACGTAAAAACAGCATTTTTCAAGATGCTGACGACTGTAAAAACCGCGCCAACAATTGCGCCAATCCAATGTAAATCGCCAAAAATCTGTGCAACCGTCTACCAAAGTAGCACCTAATTTTTTTCTCTTGAAAATAAGATAAAATATCATTATTTTCTTTGCAGAATTTTTTTTATTATTTTTTTTCATTATATTATTATTATTATTATTATTATGTTATTTATTGCTCTTTCACTGTTCTAAGGTATTGAAAAGTTTTGAGTGATTTTAGGAAACAAAGTTCTTAACCTCCTTTATATCATTTGAGTTCTAAGATTTGCAAAGGAAGGTGGAATTTATTTATTAGGATAATTAATATTTGTATTAAGGATATTGCTTATTTCATTGTAATTTTGTTATACGTAATAACTTTTTTTAATGAATTTTTTCTGCAGAGTAAAATTCTATGCAGTTTTTAAATTTAACGTTTGGTGTTCCCTTCAGCCATTTTCCCGGTACATTTAAAAGCCAGACGAAGGCTGGCAGCGAAGCTGCTAGTAAATAAATAATTATTTGCGCCTTATTCCATGAACCAGATTTAAAAAAAAGTTCAAATAAATTTCAGACTAAATGGAATAAGAAAGCAGTTTTAAAAATATGTTTTTATATTTGTACCATATGTATATATCGTAGTATAAGGGCAAGTAGAAAACATATTTGGAAATAAATATTTTCTTGGGGGGGGGGGAAGAGTTGATTATGTTACATATTGATATTTATTCCTTGTAAGCAAAATAACATATCTTCTTATCTTCGGATCACATGCTTTAAAGGTACTGGAAGGTATGATATTATTTATAACTTTAAAAGTATTAAAACAATATAAATTAGACCATGGTAACTGCATTTTTAAGTACTATATTAACATACTCTATATTTTCAGATGGTTTCAGGAAGCTGAGTTGCATTGATCAAGGTGGAATGCATTGCTTCAAAAATGAAATTGAATTTTACCATCAGTATTTTATTAAAGGTCAAGAACCATTGTTAGAGCTTATAAAAAGGAAGGTAATTATTAAAATGTTTTTGTGTAATGGTATAAACCATTAAATTGGTGCTGAATTTCAAGATAAAAACTCTTAGTTTGTTCTCAGAAAGCTGTTGTTCTTTTCATTGAACAAAGGTTCAAGAAAAATCTAGTAAGTTATATATGTTAGAGATTAGTTCAGTATACAAACTATACAAATATTTTTAGTATTATTCACTTTTATCTGAGTGTATATGCTTAAAATGTTCTTGATTAGTTTTTGTTGACATTTGTTATCTGACCTGATAATAGTGCATTAGTATCTGAATTCAAAGGTCATACTAACAGCCTTTCTCAAGAAATGCTGGACTCTTAAAATTTGATACCTTCTCTAGAACATTGCACAATTTTTGGAGGGGGATATATTTACTTTGCTAAGCTAAGCTGTTATTCTACATTTTGGTTATACAGCTCAAAGTTTCATGTATACTTTGTGTGAATACCAAAAATAGATATCAGAGAGAAAACTTTTTTAAAAGGACATTTTGAAGAAAGAAACAAAAATCTTCAGATAGTTTCTGTTTTGTTAAAAGCAAATATTATTATTGTCATATTGTAGGACAAATAGCTTTCAGAGTAAAATATTTAAACTCATTCACTTTTCGAGAGCTAAACATTTAAAAATAATATCTAGTTTTTTTTTTTTTTTTTTAGTTTCACAAAATAAACTTTAATGATTATTCCATTTATCGAAACCAGTGTAAATAAGGCACCAAATAATTCATAACTAATTGCTTTAAGTTCTCAAATATATAGAATTTTATAGAATGTCGATTATAATATCTAAGTATTACATACAGTGGATGGACAAAAATATGTAAACACCTTATGAAATGCATGTTTGAAAAGAAAGATTGATTTTAATGAAATATGTAGGTGACGCTGGCATTTTTGACTACTGACGCCACCTATACAACTTCGTAAATGTGCTAAACAGTTCAGTTGTTTGTCGGAGTACTGTTATGTGAGGTTGTCATTGCATTATATCAGAGTTAACAGACTTCGAACGTGGGCAAATTGTTGGAGCACGTATGGTAGGTGCTTCCGTAAGCAAGGTAGCCGAGGTGTTTAGTGTTTCAAGAGGTACTGTATCGAAAGATTTATTTCCGCATATTTGAAAAGCGAAAAGAAAAACATCATCTGCTAAATCACAGCGCGCGGACGAAAGTGTGTCCTGAGTGATCGTGACAGACGATCATTAAGGGCAATTGTGACGAAAAATAAGAAGACCACAGCTGCAAAAGTTACTGCTGAAATGAATGTTGTGTTTACCGAACCCTGTGAGTACCAAAACAATTAGAAGGGAGCTTCATAAACAGGGAATTGCTGGCCGTGCTGCAATTGAGAAGCCACTCATCAGTGATGCTAATGCCCGTAACAGGAAAAGGTGGTGTTTTTAAGTCATAAAGCCTGGACTATAGAGCAGTGGAAGCGAGTAATATGGTCTGACGAGTCTTCTTTCACATTGTTTCCCACTTCTGGCCGAGTTTACGTCTGGAAGAACGCCATCTCAAGCCTATAATACAGACTGCTTGTTGCCAAGAGTGAAACATGGCAGGGGTTCTGTTATGGTTTGGGCAGCCATATCGTGGTTCTCTGCTAGCCCCATGATAACTGTGTCAGAGGCACATGACTGCCAAGACTTATGTGAACATTTTGGCCGATCAAGTTCATCCCATGGTACAAACTTTGTTCCCCGATGGTGATGGTGTCTTCCAAGATGACAAAGCCCCTGTTCACACAGCTCACATTGTCCAGGACTGGTTTTCTGAGCACGAGGATGAGTTGTCCCATCTCCCCTGGCCACCACAGTCACCAGACCTGAATATTATCGAACCTTTGTGGTCTACATTGGAACGGAAAGTGCGTTCTCGTTATCCACCGCCAACATCGTTATCTGAACTTGCCACCGTTTTGCAGGAAGAATGGTATAATATTCCCTTGGCAAACATACAGGAACTGTATTTATCCATTCCGAGAAGACTGCAAGCTGTTTTGGATGCCAACGGGTTTCCTACCTCATATTAAGCAAAGAAACATGTTTTTTTAAAGGTGTTTCCATATTTTTGTCCAACCCCGGTATGTTTATCAAAGATGTTAATGTGAAAATTGTCGAATAATGCTGATGTTAAAAAAATCAATAGAATTAACCTGCAAAGCTACAAATAATGTACAAAACTTGTTATTCAAGCAGCAAGTTGTTTTTTCAGGATACTAAAAAGAGACTGCAGTATCCCTAAATTCAGATAGTTTTAGTTAATTTGTTGTAATTTAGACATTTCACTGTAAATCGGAAATGCCAAACTTAGTTTTTGCTTTAAGCCATACAGTTAAAATGAAATTGATCGTTATAAGAAAGAAGTGCATTTTGATGTAACTTCTAAATTTATTAACTGTATTTGATAAGCTCAAATTTAAATAAACCGGTACATTTTTGTAAACATAACCTCTGATATTTCAGTGCCATTACAAAATATCCTTGGAAATGTTTGATTTAAAGATAAATAGTTTTTCTTGATGAATAAATAATTATTTTTACTATAAAAACATTTTGGTGTTTTCCAGTCTGTCTGCATCAATAACTATCATTTTAAAGAAATAACATTTGCATGATATATTAAGGAAAGATTATGCATAGTAAATGCAATGAAAAGAATTTTTATTACTAACACCATCTGAAAATAATGTATAATATAAGCAAGTTATATCATTTTTTTCTAAATAACTACTGTATTATTAATTAAAAAGCATTTATACTGTTAAGTTTCCAGTAATAGATATTATAGTATAAGTTAATATATTACATAAATTATGGATATCTGAGAAATGACATTTTATAAAAATTAGATAGGTGTTTCTCTTAAATGGCATCATTATACTGCATGTGTATCTACAATAGCAAAAGAAAGTCTTATAATCATGTTTTTTATGTCAGACTAATTTTGATGTTAAGTTTCAAATGAGATATCATTTTCAGATCCCAAACAGCAAATCAGAAGAGCCCAAGGTCAAACAAGAATATATAGATGAATTAATTTCAAACATAAAATCTCTGCGAGGAAAGCAAGATAGTGCTGAACAAGGCATGCGTGTTCTGAAAAAGGAAAACCGATTATTATGGAGACATGTTAATTTGTTAACTGATAGATATGCTAAACAACAAGCAGTATTACAACAGGTATTTTTGTTATCTTTTCATTTTAATTGTCTATGTTGATATTAACAAATTTTGTTTTATTTCTGGTATATAGAAAGAGAATTTTGATGAAAAAGCTATATCTGTATATGTGTAAAATTGTTCTGTTTTAACTTTTGACAAATTTTATTTTGCACAGCAGAAATCAATCATTATAAGACAAAAAATACATTTAAATATGATTGTAACTTTTATGTTTACTAATTATATTTGATAAATTCTGATTTAAATAAACTGAAAACTTTCTTATTTAACTTCTGATATCTCAAAACCATTACAAAATATGCATGGAAATGCATAATTTTGTGATAAATAGGTTAATATTTTATAATGATTAAATGATTGTATTTTTACTATTAAAAGCATTTTAGTGTTGCAGTATTTTAGTTTCATCTTCACCTGATAAAAACTGTATGGAACTTAATAATATTAATGAGAGAGGACCTTTTGAATTAAGTGTTCTGGACTATATAAATTTTTCCAGAAATAAGCATATTGATGTCTTCATTTAGTTGTTTTAAAAACATAATGTAACTTCTAATATATTCATTTTTCAACTGAAAAAATAATGATATTGTTTGAATCGCATTAAGTTGAAATTATTAAAGAATTAAAAACCTTTCAAAATATTTGAATTACTGTAGCTTATGGTGGCATCCTAGAGCAAGTGGAATAATCTCGTGAGTAATCTTGAATAAGGATCGGAAGGTGTGCCATCCATTTGCACAGAGCTAGGATACATGTGGTAATGGAAGGATTTTGTCCTAGTTATGATGAAGAATATCTAAGCGGATGGAATATAAGAACTCATAAATGCTTTATTCAACACAAGCTTTTCAAAGAGATTTTCAGCTAGATGAATTTTTAATTGCCTCTGTTTCCCAATGATATGATTGTAAACATGTGTGCTGGTATGAGACCAGTCATTTGGTAGATATCATCCTGATTGGCATATTTGAATTAATTTTATTAAGACTTGAGTGAAGATCAGAATCTCATGCATGCACACAGCATGTGTGGATGTGATGATTTTGAAATGTCACAGATATGAGATATGTAAGCATGAAACAGTAATTACAGACATAACAGATTTAATAAGAAGCAGTCATTGCAAATTTAAATAATATCCATTTTATTTTAGTTTAAACATTTACTGCCACATATCTTGGCATATTAATTGTGCTCATTCCTGAATATTTTAACATAAGCTATTCTGCTTGCCATGTTATGATAATATCATAGGCTTCAAGGACAGCTGTAACTTAAAAATATGGTATAACCATTTGATGATCATATCTAAAGCTACTGAACAGATGACATTGAAGGTCACTAGTGCTGTATTCTTGATTGAGCATAAAGTATCTAAGTTGAAACAAACTTCAATGCCATCGCTTAATTGTCCATACTGAATTAATATGCCATTGCAATGAATGTTCTGTCCTCTTGAATGTAATACAAAGTGCAAAAAGAAAAGGGCAGAATTAAAGATAGATTGTGCTGAAGGGGACGTTAGGTGTGTATTAATTTGCAGTTCTGTGTTGTGGAAATTGTATTGTAAGAACAAGTACATTTATCTAGAGTTCTGAATGCAAGCTGTGAATTTTATTACTGAGATATAATCAAACGTAGTATACAGATTACCAAACTGGATGTAAATGTTATTTTAAAAAGGTGTATTTGAATATAATGAATGGTGAAGTAAACTAAATAAAGTGCATTAATGGAGGATATCACATTCAGAATCAGTAGAAGATGGCATTTAACTTGATATTATGCTGAATAGTTTTTAATTAGTATTAGCCACTGGATGCTAGATATTTACTGCAGACACAAACCAAGGCTGTGCAAAATTTAGTACTTTATTTGTGTACTACTGCTGACTGCCAGTTATATTATACTGCATCTTATCTGGTGCTGGGCATATAAAAACGGTCCTCTGGTTTAGCTTAGAGTTATGTATCTAAGTAAATATTTCCTTCTGTAGGTTTGGTATGTACTTCATAAAGACATGTAATTAGTCATCTTAGGCTGAAAAGGTGGTAATGGTTCTGTGATAGTGGAAAGAATCTTCTCGTGCGGATATTGATTCTCTTAGCATATCTAAAGAAATCCTTGAATCCTGCTCATTATCAGAATTTGATGGCTGATCAGCTGTATCTTTGCATGAGATTGGTGCATCCTTAAAAGGAATGATGTATTTCAGAAGGACAGTTTGCTACCTTACCTTACCATTACATGCGGCTCATGGCTTAAGAAACACCCATCTAAGTTTTAAACTGATCTGTGATTTACCAATGTCCTTCTATATAAGCTACAATGGTTTTTATTAAGTAAAACGTTAGGTCTGTGAATCGAGAAATGATGTCTTAAGGTTGAGTTGCGTACAGTATTGATGGATTTTGTATCTCAATATAAGCAAGTTGCAATTTTTGATAGATGAAACCTGACTTCTTATTAGAGAAGCATCTCTGATGTTTTTAACATTCAATGATTATTCATTGTGTGACAACATGTTGGATTAGTAAAAGATTTAAATATGAATTGTATAACTTTTATAATGTAATATCCTATGAACTTCTGCTATATTTCTAAACTTATTATTTATTATTTATTTCAGCTTCTTCCATTTTTTATGAACGTGGTTCGATCAAGCCGATCGAGTAATGAAATTGCCTTGAAAAGGAAGGCTCCTTTGATGATTGATGATGGTGATATAGAAACGAAAATTCCACGTATGTCCCCACCTTATTATGTGGAACATAATGAGAAAGATACATGTTCAGCTATGGTAAGTATTAAAAAGAAGCTTCAGTGTTAAAATTTTAAATACCTTATGAAATTTCCTTTCACTTTTTTCGTCCTGACCAATTAGCATCATGGAATTTGTTCTCTTATAACTTTATGCAATGTGTTTATTTTTAAAATTTCTTTGTTGTAATTTCTGAAATTAGACTATTTTTGTAAGCTTTTGTAATATCATGTAGTATTGTATTTAATTATTAATTTTTGAAGTTAAAATCTTTCAGTATATTATAATTGCTATTAAATTTATCTTAAGCTCCTTTCAAAATGTGTTTTCTGTGTAATATTTATTATTGTCATTTATATGTTAATCAGTTTTACTTCTTACACTTTTATATGTACTGTTTTGTATCAAATATTTTAAAAATTTACTTTTCAGTATGAGGTTTTTTTTTTTTTTTTTTTTTTTTTCTTTTCTTTTAAGCGTGAATTTTTAATAATGTGTCTTCCAAATTGATGATTAATTTGTTAATTGCACATAATTTTTTATTTAATCTTTACTTTTTTAATTCAATATTCTGCTAATTTTGTTCTTAGTATAATCATGCTTAATTTTTTTTTTAACATTCTAGGTGAAAGTATGCTATTTTACTTACTTGTCTTACTTTTATTCTTTCTGGCATTTTCTAATTAGCATTATATTTTCCTCTTGGTTTTATTGTTGAAGGAATTTTTCCCTTCTTTTGTAATGATCTTGTAAATAATTTCTGACTGATTCAAAATGTGCTTGTCTAAATCATAAGCTATACACTATCAGTGAAAGAAAATCGCTCTTCCATGTTTTATCAGAATAAATTATGTGCGAAGCACATTCATTTTCTGTATTTTGTACTAACTTCAATTTTGTTTACAAAGTAAATTTTCCATCATTGTTTTTGTACGTTTTGAAAATTTAAATATCTTTTCATTTAATATGTTACATCTGTTTTATATGAATTTAACTCTTGCTTTCAGCATAAAAAAAAGGAAAGCAGAAATACGTACACATAAGTTTTATTGTGAGCATATCTGTGCTCATTTATGATTCTGTTAACAATGAATATTTGATGATGAGAAGTTGCAGAATATTTTTTATTCATTTTAATTTTCAGTTTATTATGACAATGTCACACTTGTTGAGTTGATCTGACTTGAGGATTTGTACAATTTTTTTTTTTTTTTTTTTTTTTTTTAAATCTATCAAGTTTGCAGTCACTTTTCGATAGGATGAAGTAAAAAGTTTGGCCACTTTGATTCCTAATGAAGATAAAAATAATTAATGTACTTTAAAAATATTATAGTAGTACTGAAGAATACAAAATGGTTGAAAGTATAATTACTTGCTTAGCATGCTGTGTTTTGGGGATTCTTTTTTCTTCACATTCTGTTTTTTTTTATATTTATTTTATTTATTTATTTTTGCTTTAACATTAATATGAAACATCCTTTACTGTTCTTTATGTATTTAATAATGTCTTCATGTTCCTACTAATGGCTCTTTTTTCTATTCAGCAAAATATGTTTAATGATAAATATAACTTTTTGCTAACTATTTCAGCTCTAGGTAATCTCATACTTGCGTGGTACCAGTTTATTCATCATATATGTAGGAATGTTGCAAGTTAATTCATCAATTGTGTAGGAGTGTATCAGAATAGCTGTGTGTAGCTTTGATTAATGAAATTCTAAGTGAATATACTAGAGTTGTCTTTTATAGCCTTCATCACCAGGTAATGTTTCAAATAGAGGACCTGTTATTCATGATGTAACAGATGTGGAAAGTAGCAAGATGTTTCCTGCCAACGTATTACGCTCTCCAAATTCTACCACGACTAAAGAATGTGAGGCGATTGTTGATAGTCCTTTATCTTGTAGCTTAGAAAGTCCAGAACAGACCATCGACAGTCCATATACTGATCCTGGCTCTATGGAGACACTTAATATTTTAAACCATAACTTTGAGAGGTGGGTAAGAAGGGTTTATCATTCTATTTTATCAGTAGTGTTAAAAGTTATTTGATGACGGTGGATTACATACGATAACATATTTTTACAGAATTAGCATGAAGCTGTTCATATAATGTCAAAACTGAAATCTGATCACACAAATTGTAGTACCATACATGAATCTGGACTGTAAATCTTAACGATAGTTTATAGTATGCTCCTCCAAACTATCCCTTGATGAAGAACTAAATTATTTAAAAGCAATAGCTGTTTACAGGGGCTTTTCACCCAACATTATTAATCAAGCAGTTAAAAAATTCTCATCTCAACACACCAAAAGGCACGCTCTTGTTTTAGGAGATTATAAAAATTCTTTTGTCATTCCTTCTTCCATCAATTAGCTTAAAGTTGCACGTATTTTGCAGAAATTTAACTTTTGGGTTGTTTATTCTCCCATCAATAAAATTCCGAGTTCCATACTCAAGGACCACATTCCAGATATGAATTCCTGGGGTATTTACAGGATTCCTTGTCAGTGTGGTTTAATTTACATTGGCAAAACTAAGAGAGCCTTAAAATTTTGCGTTAAGGAACATGAGGCATATGTTAGAAAAAAGGAAACACAGAAATCTTTTGTTGTCCAACATTGTTGGTCCAAAAATCACACTTTCAATTTTTCTGTTGCCAAAATTATTCAAAAAACATCTTCCATTGGTGAACCGGATTTTCTAGAGGCATTTTACATTCAAAAAAATCTTTTTGTTCTAATTAACGGCCCTAATTCTAATCCATCTTTGCCTTCAGCCTTTAAAGAAATTATGTTTTAGTTCTGGTTTCATCAATAGATGGCGCCAGTGGCTTATCTCCTGTCTAGCCTTTCTTATCTTATGTAGTCATAGTATCTTATCTTGTTCATTTGCACTTTTGCAGCTGAAATGTTGGTTCAGTAAAACCATCAAAACCAGTCCTGTGAAAATTTGAAAATATAACGCTGATTTTTGTTGTTTGACTTCTGAATTGATAGTTTATCATCAGAGAAAATATGGCCCTTCTTCAATGGCTTTTTGACTTTGTAAGGCATAATGATAGAGCAAATGAGTCTTTTGTGAATGCATCGGATGTTGATTCTAAAGCAATTCTTGCAAAAACAATATGCTCATAAATATTGAATAGATATATTCTTGAATGTATATTTCTCTTTGTTTTTTAATTCATTTAATGTCCTTTAGAGTGAAAGATATTTTTAATAAAGATCAGAAGCCTTTTTAAGAAAAGAAATCTTTTTTTAGTAAAAGAACAGAATGCAGGGCTTCATATAGTTAAAAAATTATTTATTTTCAGTACTTTATCTAAAGCAAAGCTGTGACAGAATTGAGAATGTTTTTCTTCGGTTTTAATAGGAAGCATGGTTTAGGAAATATGGTAATCTTTTTAAATTTGCATGGGTATCTCAAGTGCTGTGGAATATTTCAGTTAAAATTATCAGTGAGTTTTAATAGAAAGAATTGTTCAAGAAATGGGGTAATCCTTTTAAATTTGCATTGGTATTATCAAGTGCTGTAGAATATTTCAGTTAAAAAGTGTTTTATTGCAGATTTACATATATGCTGTAGCATTCAGTTTTGAACTTGAACAAGATATTCAGATGTATCTCTTTTTTATGAATATATATTGAACTATATACAGGTAAATTTTAAAGTATGTTTGCATAATAGTCAAACTTAGTAGTAATAAGAAAAAGAATAATAAAATACTGTTTTCAGATGTATAAGGTTTTGACTGGTCAGTATTTTATCATTTTGAGTAACTTAGTTTCATTAACATATAACCATAAAATGTGCTACTTTTGTTTGTTCCCACTTTTATGCATTCTTAATGATACAAAATTTTAAACATTAAATAGTTTTGAAAATATTAAAAAAATGTAATTTTTTAATTTATTTTCAGTTTACTTAAAAAATAAAATATACACAGTAATTTTTTTTTTTTCTGAATGATCTTTAATGTAAAGATTTGCTTTTTAAGGAAAAAGCTATCATTATTATACTGTAAAGTATCTTCAATGCTTATATGCAAGAAAGAACTCAAAATTCCTAGTATTTACATAGTCTGTTAATGACAGTAATTCCAAAATTGCCTTGCTTCTGCATAGTATAATTAAAATTTTATGAGAATTGCTTCCTTTGTATGTGCAATAAAAATTGAATTTAATAGCAGACCAGTCTTTAGTTCAAGACTAAACGTTTTTTAAAATCACAACTTGTTATTGACATATTGTTCACTTTAGACTTGTACCTAATATGCTGTTTTATGTGATCTGTGCCTACCCCTTTTCACAGATATTGTAGAGACATTAGGTATTTTTGGAGCAAGAGAGATGAAAAATAGCAACTGCCTTCGCCGGGAATCGAACCATGGACCTCTGGAATACCGGCCCAGCTTGCAGAGTCGTAGCTAGGGTTTTCAGCGCCCAGGGACAACTGAAGATTTCGTGCTCCCTACTGCTTGCCAAGGATGGAAAACATTTAATTCTAAAATGTTGTAACATCAGTTTGGCGCCCCTTGGATTCTGCGCCCGGGGACAGATGCCCCCTCTAGCTACGCCCCTGCCAGCGTGCAGAACCACTACACCATGAATGCATACTAGGGAAGTGGGAGAAATACCTTATAATATGAATGGCTTGCAATATGTATCTTATATGAATATTTCCGATATTTAAGGGAAAAAATTCTGAAAAGTGTACAGAATCATAAAACATAAAACAAGAATTGCGCAAGGTGATATAAATGGAAATAAATGAACCTTCGGAAAATTGATCTAATGCTTACCATTGCTAGTTAACTGGTTTGAGCTCTGACAGTATTAGGCTTTGGCCCATCATATTATTGAAACAGTTATTAAAATAATTTTAATTTGTTTTTAAAGATTTATTTTTGCAGAAAATTAACAGTACAAATTCATGTATGGATCATTTTGCGAATTTTTTAACTGGTTAAAGAGAATGGCGCAAAAATTAGAATAAAAGGGAAATAATATTTTATAAAGAAATTTTGTAAATTCTGTATTCTTGTTTCTGTCTACTTCAGAGATGATTTGTAGTATTATTTTAAAAATCTATGGCTATTCTCCAAACATTTTTTTTTATTTCTTAACTTGAATAGTAGCTCATTTTAGCCAGCTGCTGTTAGTTGCCATTTTACATGTATGTTATTGAAAATATCTAAACATAAAGTAAAATTTTTTGTTGATGCGACCAGGGTAGGTGTTATTTTTTATTTATTCCATTGCAGTCATTACATTATCAAATTGTTCGCTAGTGCAGTAATCAGATTCGTTATTAAAATTTGAATCTAGGATATAAAAATAATCAAACAGTAACTAAATTATTCATGCCTCAAATTTTGAAAGGATTTTGTTTATTGTCTGTCAAAAGTGTTGTTTCTTCTATAAATTTTATTCATTTAATGTCCATTACCTCAATGGGAGATAGTTTTTTCTAGAATGATTTTAATTCTTTTTTTTTTTTTTTTTTTTTTTTTTTTTTTAAGTTCATGTTTATTTTATTAAGGTAATAAATTCTCAAATAGATAATATATTTTATCTTAAATTTATTAGGTAGCTTTTTTTTGCATTTTAAACTACAGAGGAAAGTTTTGCATCTATCCAAATAGATATGTATTTTAACATTTTATTTTTGCTACTCTTTATAAATTAATAATCGAAAAAAAAACATTAGATGTTAATTTCAATAAAATTTCATGGCCATTATTTTAAATCATTTAGTATCTCTCATTTGCCTCTGCTACATTTTGATATTAAAGTTTGCTCATTATTGATGCAAAAATACATATATTGCTACACAATATGAAATAAAATTGTAATATGAGCAGCTTTGTGGTTAATTCTTTATTTAGTCTTTCTTAGAAATTTAAAGTTAAATCGAAAAGAAATTTCAATAAAAGATTTACCCTGCTCATCAAAAACTCTTAACACTATCTGAAAACAACGGAGAAACGATATGTAACTCCATGGTGTTCTTCGTAAATTGTGCACACATCTACCATGGGACTGTACTGTTCACAAGTAATAAGAAATGTATGAGTATGGGCACTGCAACAAATTGTCTTCAGTGTAATCAATGCATTTTGTAGTATGAATCTTGCATAAATCTTTCTAGTTATGTAGTAATATGTTGGTGAGAATTATTTTAACATTATCTGTATTGTAAACGTTTTATGTTGCAGCTAATCTGAAGTAATGAAATCATTATAAATATTTTCTTAAACTGGAATTAAAATAAGCATTTAAAATTTTAAATGTGTGTTAGGTTATGTTAGGAAATTTGAGTATGGCAAAGCATACAAGGGCCATCTGCCTAAGGGAATGGATATCTTCGTGGAAGACTTCTTTGCCCTTAGGCCGGAGAAACAGGCTTGTATCCACGTTACAAGTGAGGAAAGTCTTGAAAATCCTCATGCAGCCAGCCCATTTGCTTGAATCAAACCCAGGTCAAACTACTAGTGTTCAACAACTGCCAACTGAGCTGTTGATGGGCATTTAAATTATGCATATATATAATAGATAAAATGTGCATGAATATACCGAATTTGTTTTCACTCATTTTTTGTGATTTAGTATTTGCATTAATCATCTAATGGTTATGTCCATCTGTTATATCATTAAAAAGAGATGAGTGGTTTAAATGGTCAAATTCCATTAATTTTTTATAAATTTAAATTACAAAAGAAACTAACTCAGATAGACATATTCGATATATTATATGCTAAAGTGTTGCATCATAATTTCTAAAATGTTATGATATCTATCAGTATTAAGGATTTGCATATATTTTCAGCGAGCCTCACAAAAGTTTTAAATTTAAGTATGAAATTTAAACATGAGTTATAACTGTGCAGTTTTCATACTATGCATTATATATTGCAAGAAGTTTTCTTATTATATTTGATGGTGGATTTATATACATAGATAGATATTTACATTATTTATAAGTAATAAATAATTTTACTGTCCTCTCTATTTATTTCCAGTTATCAAAAGCACACTATATTCACAATTCAGTTCAGTTTTTAATAATGTAAATCATAATTATACAGCTCTCAGATGTAACTGAATCATTATGAGAATTTTATAAGGTTAAAAAATTTCTTTTAAAATTCATATTTTTAATACAAGGGGTCATTCCATGAAAAACTGGAAAAAAAATTTTTTTTGAAGAATCTCTTACAAGAACGGAATACAGCACTTTTTTATTTTTTATCGTAATTCCCCTCAAGTTCTATATACTAACACAAGCGCTGGACAAGCTTCTCAATTCCACATGCAAAGTATTCTTGGTTGACATGTTTGTAACCAGTTAGGTGCTGCACTTTCTTGCCATCAGCGAAACTTGAGCCATTAAGAGCTTTTTTTTTAGTGGGTTAAAATGTGATAATCTGAAGGTGTCCAATCCGGGAAATATGGAAATTGGGGCAAGCAAAAAAAAAAAACTTAGAATCTTTGATGGTATCTAATGTGACTCTAACGGTGTCGGGCCTCATGTTGTCATGCAGTAACTGAACACCACTGGACACCAGTCCATGCCGCTTCCTTAAAATTGCTGGTTTTTAAGTTTTCACACATAAGGTTTGTGTGTATTTCATTGCATTGTTTACGTTTTGACTTCTCGGCATGTAGTGTTCTCAAGAATTGTATCCCTTATGGTTCCAAAACAAAGTCAACATGACCTTACCAGCACTTCTTTCAGTTCACAACTTCTTCTGTTTTGGGGATGAAAAATGTCACTACTCCATTGAAGCCCACTTTCATTCAGGTTCATAAAAATGCACCCAACTTTAATCCCCCATTACAATACGGTGAAGAAATGCTTCTACTTCAGGCTCGTACTGTCGCAAAAGCTCCCTCAGCCTTTCTTTCATTTCTGACATCAAATGTTTTGTAACCCACATCATTACACACTTTCTTGAACATCAATACGTAATGAACAGTATAATGGGCTGCTCTAAAGTTCATCTTTGTTGCAATATTACTCACCATACTACACCTTTTTTCCATATCAACTCATCAACTATTGTAATGTTATTCTCTGTGACTGCATGGACAGAGCGTCCCGAGTGTGGCAAATCTTCAACACTTGTTACAACCTTCTTGAATTTATCTGCCCACTCGTACACTTGTATTTGACTCAAGCAATTTTTACCATATTGCACTGTCATCCGATGGTGATTTCAATGAGTTTCAACCCTTCAGCTAACAGAAATCTAATGACACTCCACTGCTCCACATTGGTGCAAACCTGCAGGGATGCTGCCATCTTGTTTTACTGATTCCCAGCATCCTGTTCAACAGGCAGACATACCAGGCCCATCTGATAATATCTAGGACACCACTAAAAACTAACAAAGAAGCACAAACTTTATCGAAGTTTAGTATTTTATACACGTTTTTATTTATTGAATGGACGATTATTTAAAAAAGATAAAATAAATTTTAATATAACAAAGTGTATTCTCCAAGATTGCTTCTGCCTAATTTGAAAAATAATTTTCTAATAATCTAAACAAACTGAATCAACTTCTGAAAGTTATTATGTCTAAAATTACCAGATAGAAATATGTTGAAATGTCAAAAGCGAAAGTAACCAACATTTGATTTTTTACTTTGAGATGATTTATGAATAGATTCATGCAGATCTTTGAACAAAACTTAAGTGCACTGCCCATGCTGTGATTGTATAAAAAAATCGAAGCAAAATGTTTCTGCTTCTGGAGAGAACACATAGGTAACATAAATTTTCATAGCTATATTACGTAATTACAAAAATAATCTATTAGATCATTTTGTATGTCAAACACATGTATTATGTTCTATATGTACTGGGTACAGAATATGGATTATTTTTGTAATGCTGATGCTGGATGTGGGAACCTGTAGAGTTGTCATAATAATTTAAATGCTTTTGTCTTTGTAGAGGGTAGTATTTTTTGTTTTTAATTTGAGATTTTGTATTCTAATTATTCCGAATAAATATAATTTTGTAAATTAGAGAGTAAATTGTATAATTTAAATTAAGTAGTTGAATATTTTTGGTAATATATAATTTTGAGAAATATATAAAAATATATTCTTAAAATTATATATTAGGCAATATTTATTGAGTTCATTAAAATATAGGACAATTTCTAGACTTCAAAAGTTTTACTAAATCCTTGTAGATGGATGTTTGAAAGATGAATGATAGTGTGTGTGTGAGATTTTGCTAATATGACTGACTGTTTGGAAATGAAGTTTAAGTGCTTTTTTTTTTAACAAGCAAATTTTGGTTTACATGTGCACAGTTAATGTTGTGTCTGTATGTGATGTGTGTAGGTTATATTCAATTTTAATTAAAATATTTTTTAACTGGGGAGTCCATTATTTGAATGTTCTGTATAAATAAAAGTGTAGAAACTTTTCATATTGCATCAAGCTGTTTTATGAGAAATGAGTTGTCAGCAATAGAGTATATTAATACATCTATGTGTAATCTATAATGCTGTTGGTTATTGAAACCTCGTATATAAATCCTGAAGCTATTGAAGGCTATTGGTTCAAGATTTCTTAAGGTTTCTTTTGATGTTTGTATCACTGCCAGAAGAATAACATGGTGCTGTTTGATTTCATATTTGTTAAATTAATTGAATGATTTGCTTACTATCATGATTATATCTATAGATTCCCCTTAATACCCGTATAGTTATGTGCAGCAGGACCTCATTTATCGAAACTGATTATAGCTTAAATTAGCAATGTTTTTTGCAATGTAATTCAAGAATTAAAATTGAATATACAGAAAATCTGTAATATATGGACAGTGTCTGTTGCTACATTTGAAACTATCAATATTTCAGTTACAAAGTCTTGTGTTCTGAAAATTTATTTTAATCTCTTTTCTTTTCAAGTGACCTAGTAATTTAATAATGAAAATATAAAAATTTGAAAAGTAGTAATAGCTCTTAAAAACAATAAAAATATCAGGAAGAGTTAGTAACTAAAACAGAAACTAAAGTATGTGGATTCCATCTTTGAAACTAGTTTATACATTTTATTAAGGAAATCAAATATATTTTCATAATTCATCAAATAATATTCATTATCCTTCATTTCAACTATAGCTCTGGGGCTTCTGAATCGATTAATTGAGGTTCTACTGTACATTTTAAATCAGAAATGCACAATATACCTTTTTGCTCAAATTCCTATCATTGGTGGCATTTCACCGCCTTTCTGGTTTGGTCACAGATCCTGGGATTGTTCCATGACTTTTACGGTAATGTATGTAGCATTTTTAGAAAAATGGTATGTACAGATTGTTTATAATTTTATGTTTTGTTTGCTTAATGTGTTATGCATTGAGTTTGTTCCTGCATTTTCCTATTATCCAAGAAGCAAAGAAGAAAGCAGACATATTTGTTCTTGTTAGGGTCTTTGAGATGCGTTGGCCCATTTCTTCTCTAACACTCTCTGTGGGAAGATGCCTTTAATTCAGTAACTGGGTTGATGTCAGGTGATCTATGTACAACGAGCTCCTTTGGTAAGACCTAAATGTTAAATGTGTGTTGTTTGCTGTTCACAGTGGTTCTCAAAGCCATCCAAACACATTTGTCACTCATCATACTTCCTTTTAAACATTTAATTTCCCCCCCTTTTTCTGTACTGACATGCTTTGCATGAATGAATAAAAGAAAACAAAGCTAACTGTAACTGTCATTGTTAGAGTATCTTTGTCAAATGTGAACTTGTCTGTGCTGTATTTATGAGTACAAATTGTGAGAGTTTGAGCGAGTGAGATGCTATATTAATATATTCTAAGCTTTAAATTATTTCTTCGTGTATGGCAATTGAATGCATGCATATATCAGTTTTTAAAAACCCTTTGCTGATTGTTTTTCAAAGAAAACATTTTAGATTAATTTTAAAATCATTTGAAGATTAATATTTAAAAAGCATTTTGCAGATTTTAAAATAATTTATAGACCTTTTTGAAAAAAGATTTAGAACAATTTTTAGAAAACATTTATACTTGGTGGTAATAATTTGAGAACTACTGTTCCCAAAATCAGTTATCTCTATGCCTTTTCTGCTAACAACTGCATATGTATTTATTTGTATTTTTTCTTATTTTATTTTTTGGCAGCCATAGCAACTCAATCAGTCCTCACATGGAAATGAAACATTCACCAATAAATATTGCCAACCCACCTCTGCAACTTCAATCACATGCATGTGTAATGCCTACCATTACAAGTCCAATGTCCACTTATACTGCAATGCCTAATGGTATTTCAGGTGCTCCAGTAATAGATGAAACCACATCAGATGTGCCAATTTCTGAAGGCTTAATGAGAAGCCATTTTATCAAAATTGAAGACTCTTGTGACAGCGGTATATATACAATGGACTCTGTAATGAATAATAGAGTATCGTCAATGATGAATGAAAGTACATCTCCATTAATGAATGAAAATACATCTTCCATAATGAGCGAAGCAGCTTCATCAATGATGAATAGTGGTGCATCCTCTTTGATGAATGGTGGTGCATCCTCAGTGATGAACGGCATAACATCTTCAGTGATGAATGGTACATCTGCAATGATGAATGAAGCTCCATCTTCAATGGTGAGTGAAACTGCATCTTCGATGATGAATGAAGCTGCATCTTCAATGATTAAAGAAGCCACATCTTCAATGATAAAAGAAGCTACAACTTCAATGATGAATGAAGTTGCATCTACCTTGATGAATGGAGCCTCCTCTTCATTGATAAATGAAAAGCCATCAACAATAACAAATGACAGAATGGTTTCGGCTATGAATGAAGGGCCATCCACTAGCAGTGGGAACAAGTTCTTGCCTAATACTTTTGCTGTGTATGTATTTTACTTTTATTACAATTTTTGTAAATCTCAGAAAGGGAGAGAACTCGCTGCTTATATGTATATATATGTTTATAATATTTATAGAATAACCGAAAAACCAAAAAAATAAAGTTAGATTATCTACAAACATGCTTTTATCATTCATTCATGTTTATGCACCATTGCAAATTCAAAAAGTTGAGAAAAATGTTATTTATTTCATTAAAATTTGTCAAAAAATACTTTAGTTAGGTTTTTGTTATAAGTCTTACGAACACACTGCTATTTCACCACTTCGTTGGGAAGATTATATATTATGCAAAACTAAATGGCATTGATTAAAGCTTGCTTGAGGAAGAACTAGCATGTAAAATTTAGTCTAATTATATGAAATTTTGATAAAATTCAGGTTTGGGTGTGTTTCTAACTTTGAAAGTAAACTGTTACTTAATTAACACTAACACATATGAAATATTATAGCTGCATTGTGATGAAGTTTTACAAAACATCAAGATTTTAGATTTGAGGTATTGGTATTTAAACTTATTATTATTTTCACTGGAACATTTAATCTAAATAATATTTACATTAGTATTCTATGACAGTTTTACTTCCTTGTAAATTTTACAGCAAGCATTTGTATTAACACAAGAAACAAAAAATTGAAAAGTGCTTAATAGTGTAGAATAAAACACAAATCAAGGTCTGGCCATTTTATTTCATCATTTGAATAACTAGTGAGCATGAGCTAATCATACTGTTGTTGAATGTTGCTTTATAAAAATGCTTAATGTAAAAATTTCTTATTAGAAAAAAGGACTTTAATTGTATATACATGCATACGAGAACTGTTGTTGTCTTTTGTCTAGATGACAAAATCATTTCTCCTTCAGCTTCATAGTTTATGTCAGGTTTCTTATAAGTATTTTTACACGTTTTAAAATTTGCAACAAAAATCTTACACCTTTGTATATATTATTCATGTATAAGTCATTAGAAATTTAACTCATTTAACAAGCTTTTAATCAATAGAAATGAGTAGTTTTGTTCACAAAATAAAGATTACTTCAACATTGTATTTATAATATGCTTGTAAATAAAATGTTTGTAACTTTACTAATAAGTATGAAAATGCATTCTAAATACATTGCAGTGGTAATTTAAGAAAACATAAAGTATTTTTTAAATTTAACTCAGTATTTTATAAGGAAATCCTTTCATATATGTCTGTAAAATGTGTAAAGTATATTTTAAAAGTTTCATTAACTTTTTGTATTAATATTTTTCAACAATTCATTCGTATCTTCACAGTTTTTTAGTTAAGTATGCTGTCTGTATTTTTTAATTTTTGGAAGATTCCCTCCCTCCTTCTAAAATCCACTGTAACAATTTGAGAATTGAAAAGAAAAGTATGTATGAAATATTTCTAAAATTTATTTTGAGAGGAAAGGCAGTAAACAAAAGATAATCTCACTTATGTCCATATAGTTTATATTTTATTATACATATATAATTTATTCATTTATTATATGTATGCATATTCTGCATTGAAGGTACTTATTAATTATTTATATTTTTGTTTATTTTGATGCAGTAATTATTTAAATATTTTTGATAATTTTTTTGATTTCAATAATTTAAATCTTCACTGCTCATGAACTATTAATTTCATTTAAATATAATGTCATGAAAGTGTATCAGTATATATCTGTTTTTTAGAAATACTAAGAATGCAGGATCAGATATGAATTGGTTATTGAATCAAGAAACCTATGGTAGTGATCCTAGTATTGAAAGTTGGCTTGGGGTAAGCTTATATTTAAAAATACTTATCTTATATTCATCACTTTTTAATAATTGAACAAATAATACATTTAAATAATGCAGTAAAAAGTCACATTACATTGCCATATATTGAGAGTGCTTATGTTGGTTTGATAGAAAAGTCATGATGCATTTTTCCTGTAGTTTTCAAAGGTAATTTATTTATTTGATGAACACATAGTATTAGTCAATGATATATTGCCCCCCCCTTTTTTTTGTTAACCTATGCCATATTTCAGTGAGTGTTGTCATAACATCTTCAGTGAGTGTTGTCATAACATCTTCAGTGAGTGTTGTCATAACATGTCATTTCAGTGAGTGTTGTTTGTAGAAGGAGCGATCATTATAAGCGAGAAACTGAACGAGGTGCTGATTTTCAGCATCATCTGAATTGGTCATTATACTGCACAAAGAGCAGAAAAAATATAAATTTAATATGCAAGGTCATGTAAGTATGGTGATTGTGGCAACACATCACATCTAAGCTTCTATAATTTTTTATAGGTGATCAAACTTGTGTGTGGTTCACATTATCATAATAGAACATGCCCTTTCCTGATTAACAAGCTTTAAAATTTTCTGGATGATGGATTCATTCAAACTGTCTAGTTGCTGACAGTATACATTGAGACTATCTACTTGCTAATAGTATACATTCAAATGATTGTGACAGAACCTCAAACACATGGTAGCTTATATATCCCAGCTTCTTCTGATGGTAGTAAATGCTAAAATGGATGTACAATGTTACTGCAATCTCTTATGTCATGTAATGTAGACTTGACTTAATCAATGCCTCTATTTTATTATTATAACTTTGGTTGGCCTCTCTGAGTGATGAGCACCATTGAGTTCAAATTCATCTGCATGGAATTTCAGGAACCATCAATGGCGCCTCTTGTAATGCATTGTCATTGTAAATTTGGCACAGCGTTTTTTTAAGCTTCACATCTCTGAACAGAAGTAATACAATTAAATATGGCAAATGTGCTGAATTTGGTCTTCTATTTTTAGCTTGCAAAATCTCCGAAAATCGACCAACTTTCTCAAATGTTTAAACAATGAAGCTAGATATACTTGCTGTCAAATGACATAGCAATAATTTAATTTAGATTCAAGAAATGCATCATGACTTTTCTAACAACTCACTTAATAACAATTGTGAGCATTATATATATAGAGAGATATATATATAAGATATAAAATATGAAAGAAAATTATTAACAGATTACTAAATTAATTTGGCAATAGCTCTTTTAATTCCTGTCCTTAATTTAGCAATGTCTCCATCAAAGAATCTGCACTGCGTCATTATTTCATCTGTTGTGATTGCTGTCTAATCATCATTCAAAACTGAAACAAAAGAGCTGAGTTTATAAGTATCCCTGCTGCTCATTATGCAGCCTAACTTTTCTCCCGTGCTCTCGCTTTGCAAGCATGTAATTAATCACTTTACTGCTTTCATTTGTTGTTTAAAGCTGAAAATTTGGTGAGGTGAAGTATTTGCAAAGCTGAGATTACATTACATTATTATAAAATATTTTTAATTGCATTTTATACTACTTAAAAGACATCACTGCATTTTACATTTTGATTCTGTAGATTCAAAGATGTTGCGAGATTATGCAGCATAATTTACAAATGATTATAATTCTAAATTAATATTGATTAATTATGATATTAAAGTAGTACGGATATTTGATATACCATATATTTCTGAATCTAAGCTGATTCATGTATTAGCTGAGAGTGCACTTTTTCTTCAAAAATTTACTCAAAATTCAAAACCTATGTATAAGCTGAAATGAAAAAAAAAAATTCTTCTAATATTCAAACCTGTTGCTATGAGGGTGAAAATGTTGCCAAGTTGGTAAAACAGCTAGAATAGTTTCCAATCAAATTACTATATTGTAAAATGCCAGATGCCAATGATTATAGTTTTAACTATGGTAACCCTGTTTAAGCTAGCACATTTATTCCATTCATTCCTTCTCTCTTATGTGTAATGTGTGGTAGTTTTATTTTCTGTGCCAATTTATGTTTTGTCTGAAAGACGAGCAAGGAAAAAATTCTTTTACAGAAAATTTCAGTCTACAGATAATCATATTTGCTGAAAATTAAAATGAGTTTGGCTGCTCAGTATTTCTCCATAAATGAAAAACAAGTTCTAGAATGAAGAGTTTAGAGTAAATTTTTCAAATTCAGATCTTTCATTTTGGCGACGTTGCAACAAACCAGCATCCCAAACAAATTGAAAACTAAAATACTTTCATAAAATGAATTTTTTCATCAAAAGTATAAGCTAAAGAAATAAGAAAATGCGATACTTGGCGATTTATCGCTTCTGCTCGGCTAATGCAAAAGTACTTACGCTTTTGCGAGATTTGCGGATCCATATATAAACTGACTTCTATAATTAAGCTGGCAAACGATCCAATAATTCCCAGCTTATGCGTAGAAATAAACGCCACTTAATGTGTAGCAGAGCTTAAAATAGAACTTAAGTAATAAGGTTTCAGTTCTCGTATGAAAAAAAAGTGTGCTGCATTCCTTTTTATGACCTTATTGACATTTTATTTGATAAATGGAAGAGTAATGTGAAAAGTTGAAGTACCAATAAATTGTAGTTGTTACCTGCACATTCCTGTGGTTTATATTCATCTCCATCCTCATTTTTCATTCAACTCTTTTTCTAAATGTATGTATACTTAACTATTTATAAAAATTTTGAATTGAAACATAAAATAGATTAAAATAAGGATACAAAATGGTAGTGTATTAACTAACAAATATGCACGGTAGTTATTCAAATTTTTCTTTGCAGCAAATATTCAAATCTGACAATCTTGTTGCTGGATGCAGCTTACCTCAGGTATGAATTTATTTTTAGCGTGTATATTAAAAGTTTATTTAATGTATACTAAAAGAATTACTGTATTTCTGTAAATATTAAAATGTGAATTTTATATACTTCTTAACCTAGAAATACATTTTGAAATTCTGTTCTTTCCCTTTCTTAAAACAATTGTAGACTGCTGTAATGATATGTATCGAGGATTATGCTATTGAGTTGAAATACTCATGCACACAAACAAAGGAAAAAATTGTTTTCAGATTACTTTTGCAGGACTTATGATACCAATATATATTATTATTGTAGAAGCTTTCTTTGTAATATACATTTTTTTATAATTTTTAATTGTGTTTCAAATTTATTTTTATTAAGCAAAAAATAATCTAAAATAGTAATATTTTTTAAAAGGTTTTTTATAGTAATATGAAAAATTTTTTATAATATAAATTAAAAGTACTTTTATAATTATTGCAGGAATTCATCCTAATTCTGCATATATATATCTTTTGATTTCTTTTTAGGAGCATGTTGAACGTGGTTTTAAAGATATTAACCACATGCAAATGCAATGCAATTATCTCCGAAACAAGATCTTGTTATGAAGAATCTAAATTAATCACCTTGATGGACCTCCTTTGACTGAGGAACAGTTCTTTAATCACTTGTACATATATATATATATATATATATATATTATTGGTGTAAAACTTAAATGTGATCGAATAACATTTTGTATACCCTAAATTTTCTTTTTTGTCTTAAAATATAATTATTATGCAGAGACTGCATAAAGTACAAAAGCAATTGAAATAAATTAGAGTACTCAGCTGTCGTTTTTTTTAATTTCAAAGCGGCACTTTTGCTTGTATAATAAATCATATTTATATAGTTCACATCTCTCAAATGTAAACACAAAATTATTTTTTGAAAATGCATCATGTAAAAAAAAAGAATTCTTACAATTTGTTATATGTACTGAGTGTCACTTTGGTGATTAAACAATAAACATAATTTCATTGTTCAGCAAACATCATATCATGTACAAGGGTCTTATGCATGAATATGCATTTGTCAGTTTCATCTGTATCAGATGGTTATATATTTTTGCTCATATAACTAGTTGTCATACAACTATTTTATTAATGAGTAATAAAATACAACTATAAACCTTTCAAAGGTTAAATGTTATATATATATGTATATATATACATACATATATATAAAATGATACCCTTAAGTCATTGTTTTTTGAACTTGTCACAGAGTGCTTTTCATCCATTCATATCATTTCAGATATTTAACGTAATCATAAGTTTTATGTACTAATGTACTGATAACTTTTTGTATGATTGCATATACTGTTGTAACATAAGGAAACAAGTGAGTAATTTATGCATAAAAATAACTTTATATACTTTTCAGAATATTTTAAATATATAGCAAAGTTAAAATATTTTGTTTTCATAAATGTTCTACAGGTGTTATGGTTTTGTGCATAAATAAGTGAGGGTATCTGTATGATTCCTACGGTTGATATGGATTTTTATAATTTTTCATTTTTAAGATGAAGCCTTCAGTTTTTAAAAACAGTAAAGTTTATTTTTTCAATATATAATTACACTTAAGTTTAAAAAACTTTGAAGTATTATTGAAGGAGTAAAATAGAACCAGCAAAATGCTTATATGAAATGAAGATCAAAATAGTCTTGTTAATTAATAACATCAATCTCAATTGCAGAAACATTTGCTAAGTACATTTTACTAATTTTATACAAGTACCACCAACATATTGTGCCTTGTATGTTTAATATTTTAGATCACAACTAAAATCAGGATAATTTTGATAATTAAAAAACAGTTTTGGTAATTGAAAAATATATGTGTAAAAATATTACATTTTTGAATTCTTTTTTCGCTCAGAATTTATTTCATGATCTGTTTAAATTTTAAAATTTTTAATGCTGAATTAAAATAATTGAACTACATGATGCATTAGCATAATCTTTTTTTTAAAGCTAGAAAAATTGATTTTATGTAATTTGATAAAAGTTTTACCAAAAAAAAAAAAAAAAAATTGTAATGCACAGAAAAAACTTTTTAGGCGATATCCTGATTTCTTTGAATGGTTGTGTGAATTTGGATTTAAAGCAGGGTGTGTTAATGTGATATATAACCTATCAAGTGCATGAATTTGGGTTTATAATAAATTTTAATAGCTTTAATTTACCTCGCTTTCTATATATAAGCCTCAATGTACCTCTCTTTCTATATATATCTTTATTTGAGCTTCACGTATTCTTGTAAAAGTAAACGAAAATAAATCCTACATCTTTTAAAATCAGGATTAAAACCTGAATGCTTTTGAATATGCACAAGCGTATGCTAAAAATAGATATATTAAAATTATCTTTCCGTTGAACTTAAGCCAGATTATCTTTATACATAGATTAAAAAAAAAATATGACAAAGCTGAGAGGTTTCATGTTAATTGTTGTTTTTTCTAGAAAATACATCATGTAATGTCAACTGTTATCATCCATTCATTTGTAATATTAAATAAATCCCAGTCAGTGAAATAATTTCATTTATTAACTTTACATTGTGTTAACTAACAGTGTGGTTTTAGATGTCCATACGCTGAATATTCTTTACTGCAATTTATACATTAATTTATACATTAACTTTTTGTGCTTTGAAATAAAAATTCAGATATTTTTTTCACTTTATTCTGTGTAACAAAATTTAGTCAAACCTTCATTTAATAATGGGGGAGTTAAATGTGAGAATATCTATTGTTATACAGTGCAGTATTAATTAATACCCATATACTACTAACAATTAAGATTTGCAGGTTAGCGTAATCTTTGCACTCTGACTTCTTCTGTATGAAAAGACTTCTAAATGATATTTAAGAAAAAGTAGTAATACCAATATTCTGAGAGAGAACACAATTTCAATTATTATTTAAACATTATTAGAAGTAAAATTAGGATTGTAGATGCTCATCATATACTTTAATGTTCATATGTAAATATGAATCATTGCAATAAAATTATAATGCTCATAGTAATTGTATGCATGTAAAATAATTCACTATATACATGCTGGATTAGCAATGAAAGGAATTCAATTGATATATAGGTAGTATTATGTAGATATTTTAAATATAAGTTTACTGCCAAAATCAAAAAATAGATTAGGGTAAAATATTAAGTATCTCTGTTGTTAAGTGCTGTTTTAGATAAATTTTGAGAGAAATAGTTTTTGTTGTTCAAGACGCTATGCTTTTATATTTGCTGAAATACAAATGCATGGTATAAAATAGGAAAACAATTCTTGATTACAATATTTAAAAAACTGTTTTAAATTTGTAGTGCATTTTAAAATATGAAATTACTTTCAGTTAAAGATATAAATGTCAAAATATGTTCCTAATATTAAATATGTAAATGTATAAGATTTAAAAATTTTCAAATGTGTATTTTTATATGGGATGTAAATGCAAATAAAATATCATTCTTAGACCTTTCTGACAAAATATGTACTTTACAAAAGTCTTACATAAGCGCTTAATTTGATTGATGAATTCTAGTTAAATTTTTAATTTAATTAATTTATTACATTGGAATGACCCTAGGCCCATGAGCTTTTCATATTATTATTTTTTTAAATGATTTCCCATTTAACAAACAAAAATTTGCCAACTGTTAATCAAATTATTATACATTCATATTTATTATATTTTCCTTCTTAGAACTTTGTTTGGAAAGGTTAGAATTCAACATTGAATCATTCTTGTACCTAATTGTACATGACGAGGAATAAAATGTCTTCTAATGTCTCTGCGACAGCATATAATATTGTTAAAAATATTTTTTTTGTATCTATAAATCTGAATTTACATGCACACACATACATGCACATATATGTTCACATATATACACACATATATGTGTGTATAATACACAGTTTTCTAGATTACTTTTAATATACTTAGTATTATTAAACAAATACCAATGTAGTGTTTTATTATGTGTGTTGTATAGAGTAGAAATAAATGGTTTGGTTTTTGTGAATGCTTTAGGATGGTGTTTTATAATGAATAAAAAATCACATCATGAAATGTATCATTTCATAGAAAATGTGCCATGTTTCATTTGTTTACGTATTGTAGCTATGTATATTCTTTTTGAACTCTTCTATGCAGTGCTATTAAGCAATCGAAAAAATGATCTCCTGTATCAGGAGAGTTTGTTCATTTTTTAACATTGCTGTATAATTATTCAAAAGGTCTATGTAATAAAATGCCTTAATCTTATATATATGCAAGTTTTAATAATTTACCATTTCAATAAAAATTATTTCAATAATTAGTTTTTAATTATTTCATCAATTACAAATCTTTTTATTTCTTTAAGCTTTTATTTAATGCTCTTTGTAAAAAATAACATAATGAAAAGTTACACCGTTTGATCTTTAGCTAACAAATGAGATTGATTATGATATTTAACAGTTGTTTTATGAGAAGAAAGAAAAGAATGTAAAACAAAAAACAAAAAAACAAAAAAAAAAATTTCTCCAATGCAACACTGATTTTTTATTGCTTGGTAAAATGATTTGCATCACACCTTTTTAAGTCTACACAGTATACTATGTGATCACAAATTCATTAGCAATTTGTGACATAGAATTTATAATGCAGAGCTACTACAAATGATTCATGTGATTTCAAAATATTGTATTTTTGGAGATAGTGCATATGCATTAATAACTGTATACAAAAAGAACCAGAAACTTGTTTTCTTCACATATTACAGATATTCAGTGTGTGCCTCTTTTGCCAAAACACACATAGTCAGTGAAATTCAATCCATATCTTGTATGGCATTCCAATGTCAATGGTCATTACAGCAATGTTGATGCATTACCTGGCATGTATAGTCTGTTCGCCAGGATGATTGGTCACACCAACATCATGTGGTGTCGAAAAACCCCAGCATCTTAATTTTAGGATAAATAGTTCATGCTTTATCATCTGTCTGCAAGATTGGATTCATCCGTTTGCAAGATTGGATGGGTTCTGTTCTCTCCCTGCAGTGAAATAAACTTCCCTTTCTGCATGCAAGATCATGTCTTCCCTTGTCATGGACATACTATACCAGTGTTAGTGGCAATGCTGATACATAAACATAATCTTAATATATCTTGAAATAATAAGTCACTCAGCATTAGTTCTTGAGACTTGGGAGAGGTATGTGGTTAAAGTTAGTCATTCTAACTGGAATTTCAAGTTTATGTCCTGTGATGATTATCGGTTTTTTGCAGTCTGCATATGAAAATATGCCTTTCTTCCTTCACCATTTTATTAGACACGCTTGATCATTTCATGTTTTCCATTTACACAAACAACCAGTGTCTTTAGCTGATGATGCTACCACGGAATGCTTTGTGACCTAATAATGCTTTTCGATAATCTGTACCAGATGTATGTTGGATTATCATAACGGATATTTTACATGTTCCAATGCACAAAAATTTTTTTTTCATATATCAGTGTCGGCTCATAAATGGCATTGCACTCTGTATGTTATAGTAGAAACCTTCATACTACCATCTGCTATGCATCATATGAAAACTTAGTGAGTTTGTGATCATTTTCCTGTTTTAATCATTGTCTGTACTATTCTTTGGAAAATACAGTATTTAGAAATCTAATAAACCGTTCATAGTATAAAATTGTAAAAGTGGAGTTATTATTCATGTTTTTTGGCTGTATACCATACAAAATTCGAGATCTGGAATCGTTGCGACTTCAACAATTCTAGATTTTAGTCATCAGCTTAAATCTAGTTAGATTATATGCAGAAAATATTTTTTATCAATATTTCTCTAAGAATGGGGTATTTTTCATAAGGAAATATTCTTTTAGATCACCACCACATGAAATTAAAAATAACTAAGTTGAAATGGCGTTTTCTGGATTTAAAAAAAAAAAAAAAAAAAAAAAAAAAAAAAAACAATATTTGACATTTTGTTAGTTGATTGATGTTTGGGCAGTTGTCATCGCAGTATAAGACTAATTATATTATCTTCATTTAGCATTTCTGATATTCCAATTAATCGGAAAATTTTCCTTTTTCTTGCGATATCAGAAAGCTTTCAGATTGGCTTTTGCCATGATTATTATAAAGTTTGGTAACTGGCTATAAATTATACCAAGCATTCATAAAAGTATCTGCAGACACATCCTGTCATGGCCTCGCAATGCCCCACACATTACATTTTATATTAAAATACATTTCTAGAATTCTTGGATAGTTTTCTTCAGTATTGGTTTTTTAAAAAGCGTATATAGTGATGCAAAATTTCAGTATCCATTGGGCTAAATGACGGATGTATAGTTTCAAGGAAAAAGTAAAATAGAGATGTTATCATTTACTAAAACTGTAATTTTGATAATAATGGAGGGTTTTTTGGAATCTAATTCTTTTCTCCTTTCCCACTGCTATGCCAACAAAAAGAAAACTAATATCAGCAGCATCCCATTCCAAATAAATACGGTTTGGGGCTTTACGTATTGTTTAAGTCATTGAAAAATGCTAACTCCTCAAGAGCTAGGACTAACAATATATATAACATCAACATGGGCGTAGCTAGGAGGGTGCAAACGATCTTGGACCGAGAAAACGAAACTATGATATGACACGAATTCGTCAAGACTTACTGGCTGAGCAGCATTAATTCGATTTGAAAGCGAATTAATTGGTTGGCTGCATGAGTTTTTGTGGTCTTTTTTCCATCATGTTTTATAAATTGAATACGAACCAGTTTACCTCAGAAAATTTTCCTTTAAGACAGCTTTCCTTCAAGATAGCACTCGCGTGCTTTGCTACAGTCAAATAAACGAGCAAATAAATAATGGAACTGGAATACATGAGTTTAAACTAGGTCACTCTGTATTTCCTTTTATCTCCTGCTAAATAGTTTTCATAAAAGGTTCTACAAATCATTCTGTGTTGAGCCACACGCCTCGGTAAAAGCTGATGAACATTATGTTTTCCAGTTTTCTTATAAATCTTGATTTATTATTTTATTTATTGTTGCTAAAGAGGTATTTAAATACCTTGCTACAGATTTCTGCAACAGAGGATTTGCTCTTGTTACCAATGGATTAACTTTAGAAAACACTATAAATAATGCCTATCTTTTTCAGGTATTCATTTGGAGTCTTCTTTCCATGCACGAGTAATGGTTGAAGGTATTAACAATCTGATTAATAATGCCGCTAATTTTGCACTTCTGGGAAAGGTCTCATAATTCATCGGTTGTAGATGCTGGAGGATTTGAGCTATGTTTTTGCAGTTTTACAATTCTCGGTGCTTACGATGCAGTGCCAATGCTCTCAGCCATGGCACTTGCGAAAGACAGAATTCCCTGGCATAAAACATTTTACCATATTCCTTTACAATCATAAAAATTATATTTATATGGTCTACACATTGTAGCATATTTAAATTTTTGGACTGTAAAATAGCCAAATATTTTGCGATTAGTCCTACACACACGTTAAATTCATATTTCCTCACAGCACCATGTAATTGGAAAGCAGCATTACCTTATTTTGATAACTTTTCCAGTCTCTGTACTATGTTTATAAAATGCTCTTTAAATATACTAATACTTCTGTATTTTTTAGACTAGCGTGTGTCACATTAGTATGGAATATTTACTATATATCTTCTTTGAAGAATAGATTCACGAAAAAGGTTTATCACATCATTTACAATAGTATTTCTGATATGTAGTTCAAATCGTTCACAACTAAATTTAGTTTGTGACAGGCACAATGGAAAAACAAGGCTTTTTTATACTTCTGTTACAAGATCTGCACGCCACTAATACACTGCTGGCCATTAAAACTGCTACACCATGAAAGAAAGCAAATAGAAAAAGATATTTATTGTACTTAAACAGTATGGTATGAAGATAAAATGATTAAATTTGTAAGCAGTTGGGGGGTTACAGGAGTGCGAAATTAGTAGAAACAGCTGCCACCCCTGGCAGCTTGATCGGCTCTTTCCTGGTTAGGCATGAAGTCGAACTGGGCTTGGATGACAGAAACGGGCAACTCATTGCATGTTGCTTCAAGTCTGTGCCACACTTCATCAACCGTATTAGCTAGAGAGGGGTGGCGGGTTAGTCTCTTAGCAACCCATGACCAGATGTTTTCGATGGGTGACAGATCTAGAGACCGTTTAGGCTAGGGCAGCAGTCGCATACCCTGTGTATCGAGGAAGGTCAGAACACGACGTGCAACATGTGATCTGGCATTATCTTGTTGGAAGATGGTGTTTGGCAGGTCTTGAAGATAGGGCACAACCACTGGACGTAAGATGTCAGAAATATGTCGATCTATGTTCAAATTACCGTCAATCCGAACTAGAGATGTGCATGTCGTGTACCGAATGGCTACCCAAATCATCCCACCCGATGCAGCGCCCCTAGGCCGATATAGAATGCAAGCAGGCGACGTGTGGTCTCCTGGAAGGGTCCAGACATGTATACGGCCATCAGAATACACGCAGAACCGGGACTCGTCTGAAAACACGACATTGTGCCACTCCTATATCCAGCTTTGTCGTTCGGCTCACCCGAGTCGCCGTCTCTCTCCATGCCTGCATTGTCAAGGGAAGCCGAAGTAATGGTTTCCGTGCTGATAGTCCACACTGCTGTAAATGTCGACATGCCGTTCGAGCGGATACTGGGCTTGCTGCAAACATGCCTATTTCCTGACTAATGGTCCGTGATGTTGCTGAACGGATCTGCAAGGCTGGCCTCATAATATGTCTGTTCTCTCTGGAGTTAATCATGGGAAGGTGTCGAGGTCCTGCATTCTGTCTGGAGTTAATCATGGGAAGGTGACGAGGTCAGTATGACATTCAGCAACACATTGATTTTATGTTCGCATGACAATGGTTGGATGTCGACCAGTGCGACGGGCGATATCACAGAACGATAATCCACACTCTCGACAGGCAACGATCCTGCTTCTATCGGATTTCGAAACTTCCTGATAAGCATTTCCTCTTCTTATTCGAGGTATAACACGATATTCTGAGCAAACTGTGACCTTACAAAGCACTTTCCGAATGAGAAATCCAATTCACAACTTTCCTTGTACGCAATGCTTTAGATGTCGTTTCTGCCTCCTGCGTCGTCTAAATGCGCTGAAATACTAATCATTTGCATATCCCAACATCTTCTTCCTTTCATGTGATTCTGACGTTCGTTAGATTATTCCTTCCTGGTAATGGCCAGCAGTGTATTGTCTGCCATGGTTGAACATCCATCGTAACCCTGACCAACACATTTA